CCCTGCATCCTGCCAGGGCATGTGGGAAACCCCCTCCCTAGGCTCCAAGCCCCCCTCCCCCCCCACAGTCCTCTCCACACACCTTCACAAATTCCCACACCCACCCCCCAACTGTACAAAGTACCTGCATAATTTTGCATAATTTGAGATTTTCTGCAAATGATTTTGAGTTTTTAGCTGTGTGATTAAAATTGTGATTAATTGTGACTTGTTTTTTTTAATTGTGCAACTAATTGCGATCAAATTTTTTAATTGCTTGACAGTCCTACCTGAAAGATTTTTTTTAACCCAGATCATAAAAACCCTACTTTGAGCTATTTCTATATAAATACATCTCCTTTGGAGGGAACTCCACACCTTTGTTTCATGCCATTAAGCACAGAAAAAAATCATGATTTGAGCAAATCTACTGGATGAATATTACTTCTGGTGAGGTAAATATATTGGGTTGGGTATAATCACCATTTATAAAGTAAGAGTCAAGAAACAAACTGGCACAGTTGATTATAGGCCTACTCCAAGACCAATTGTGTTTTTCTCTTAACTCCAGTAGACTTTGGAACAGGCCCTCTGAATCACAATCAGCGTTCCCGCTAAGCTGTGTGGTGTGCACGGTTGCACAGGCACGCTCATGTTGCACTGCCAGACGCGCCTGTGTGGCCGTGTATGCCACACAGCTTAGAGGGAGCGCTGATCACAATCCAAAATTCTCAAGGAAATCATATGGAAAAAGGGTAGTCAAAATGGAAATAGAACTGTATCATCAACTGAAAAGGCTGATGGCCCTTTTGATTTCATATCATTTCACATGTTTTCAGGAGGGAATTCTTTTGTTCATTTTAGACCGTTTAAAGCTAGAGAAAGGAGAGTTTATTTAGGGAACAAAAAGAACATTCCCCTTCCCCTTGTTTGCTGAAGCTTTCACTATTTTAGGAAGGCACTTGGAATGAACATTTTTCAAGAACTGGAATGTTCAGATATGAGTTTTCTCAGACTGGACCCAGAAATGATGAAATACTGGGGGAGACGGACTGTTCTTGTTGTGTTTCCAGCTGTGACAGAACTGCAGGAAATCTCACAAGAAAAACATAAATTGCAAGATGTGCAGTCCATTTGCAAATTCTACTGAGCCTCTAAACTTTGTCAAACTAAACCTAACTCTGAATCATTTGAGCTTTGGTCATCAGTTATTTTAAAAAATCCTCATATAAGTAGTAACTATTAGCTACCAAAGTATTCAAAATATATTATACGTTAAAATAACATCAACTTGATTGACTGGCATTTTTATAAAAAGGCCCTAATAATACAATACTTGTCTTTCAGCAAGAGCTGATATACTTCACCTTCAGCAGACAGGGCAGTGGTGAAAACACAGTGAATCTTAGTCTTCTGCTTCAAAGATGCAATGAAGTTCAACTCTGGGTGGCCACAGAGATACTCCTCTGCAGCCAGCTCTGTAAACGTGTACAACTAGTGAAAAAATTCATCAAGATTGCTGCCCAGTAAGTTGCTAAGTTAGAAGTGGAAGCCATGGGTGAACAATATACTTTTTCTTTTTATGTTTTCCTTTTTTTTTTTGTTTAGTGGGGGAAGGGATGGGAGGAGGAGGAAGGCAAGGGAGTGGTAAAAGGTAATGTATTGTTTACGTTCAAAATCTTGAAGAATTTGCTAGGCAAGATGCGCGTGTGGACACACCCACCCACCCACGTGAATAACAGGAATAATGCTGGTATATAGTATGCAAATTTCCCCTATAGTTTACCCCATGCACCTGCAACATTCCTGCTGTTGCAGCCTAGATCTGTCCTCAGCAGAGACAGCCAACTGTACCAAATTATTTTAAAAGTTTGAGATTTGTATTGTTGCTCATCAGGGTCCTTAGTGAGCCAAGTTAATTTTCAATTTTTATCTTAACCTTAGGTCTCCAGAGATGAAAGACTAGTTGCCTTAAGCTATTTCACCATCTAATCTTGTTGAACATGCTTTATATTGAAATTACTTCTTCATAGTTTGGCATAGATGCCAACCTTAAGTTAGAATACTGCACAATTCATTTCTGTTCCATTATTGACAGTACTGGCCTTTAGTGTATGTCTGTGGAAGAGAAAACAAATACGTACTATACACAAAGACTTCATCTTTTTATAATCACTTCTTTTTTAGTAGCCAATACAGGCATGAAACAGTTTAAACAAATGCAACCATTCTTGTTGTCTGTACCCCACTACTTTTTTTGGTCATTGCAGTATTTCAGTATTCATATTCATGAAAAATGTATAGTTTGTTCTCACATCTTTCTCATCAGCAAATAATTTAATTTGTTCCATGAGAACTAGTAATATAACAGTGGACCATTTTACACTGAACCGATGTCTTTGGTGAAGTGTATTCTGATAATCTAATATAATGCTGCTCACAATTTGTTTTGCTTTGCAAGTTATGTGCAATCCAGCAACACATTCATTTCCAGGCTTATCAGTTACAAGTTTGGTGTGATTATGTCAGAAAGGATTGATTTCATGTGGTTCACTGGCTTCCACAATAGCACTGATTTGCATTCCTAGAAAAGTTTTGTAGTTATTTCACATGAATAGGATATAATTGCCTCCAGGAGAAAAGGTTGCTGTGTCTTGAGTTAATTCCATCTGCTTTAGGAGAATAAGAATGTAAAGCTATAGAAACCAAATGTAATGGGTTGGGAAATAGAATCGGGCATCTATCTCTTCATTATCAATGCTTCTGAGCACCAAGATATAAATTCAGATTTAGGTGAGCTTATCTCTCATTCAAGGGCTGTTTTTATAAGAAAAGCGATTTTCTAAAAATGGCATTATTGTATCTCATTGACTTCAGAACAAATGTTGGGATTGGAGAAGGTAGTGGCTGGAGCACTGTACTCTCTCTAACTGGCTGATTCAACTTAGAGCGTGCCCAGACTGCTCTAATTCTAATTGTGACAGAGACTTAAGGAGCTATAACCAGCTCTCTGTCTGCCCCTATTCTTCTGCTCTCAGATGCTGAACACAGCAGAGAATCTGACTTAACAGCGCCCTCAGCTCTAGCTGGGTAAACACAGGGCTTGGGCATATTGCCCCATATTTGGTGCTTATGTGCTTCACTTAAGTCTCCCAGAAAACACCTGAAATACATTGAAGGATTTTACTTTAATGACAGCAGTGCGGATAGTAGTGTGTGTGATGTCAGAACACGGATTTCTTTACTTTTTGCCTATAATTTCTAGTTTGTAAAAGCAATGTTAACAAAGATGTAAGGAACCATTATTCTGGCAATACAGGGGAGCTGTAAAAGCTGCCTTTAACGAGAATAGACAAAATATAGAGAATTATTGATTAGAGAGTGTAATATAGATATCAAGTATTTGCTTGAGGAAATAAATCTGTACGTACTTACAAGTGAAATGTTGATTAATGATAGAGATAAGTAAGGTTTAAAAAGAACAGATCATGATAGAGGGATACAGTTACTAGTTTGGTAAGTGGTTATAGTGCCTGATCTAAATCTCTTTGAAATCAATGGAAGGCTTGCACAAAACTATACCAGGAGACAGCTCCTGCCAGGAAGAACTCACAGTATATAAGGCCTGTATTATGCAGATACTTGCCATGTACTTTACTCTGATGACTTGTCCCAATGAAAACTAAGGGACTAATAATGTACTTAAGTTAATTTAAACAGGATCCCACTATACCTATTTTCATAGTCAGATTTAGATACAGTCTTGTCTGACAATCTGCTTGAGGAGATGAAATGATGTTGTTTAGAGAGCAGATTTTAGTATGTGATTAAAAATTTGCCTCTGGTCTGAAGGCAAACAGGTAATTATAATTCATAATAAAGCTTGAACTACAGAGGTATTAAGCACAATTCTACAGGGATAGGTATTGGGGCCTCTACAACCTAATAATTAATTTTGGAGACTATTGAACGTTAATCAAATTAGTGGACAATAACAAATGATGAGAGATTGCAAACCATTGGAGGGTAAAAAGAGGATACAGAATGATCTAAAGAGTTGAAGGGTATGTGCAAATAACAATGGGGAAAGATTTAATTTAGATAAATGCAAAGTAATACCACTAGGTAACACTAATATCAAATAAATAAATGAGAGATTGTTTGTTAAGGAGCAATATCTTGGAAGAGGTCCTTAGATGATAACAGATGACAAATTAAAGACAAGGTCAAAATGTGATAGTATTGCAAATAAATGCACTTCCAGTTTGTAGAAAGATGAAGTAAGCAGCTACTGTCTCCATATATAGGACAGTAACCTCACAGATGTGGCCAAATTAAGGGCAGAATTGGAGTTTTGCACACACTATTCCATGTCTAGATATCTTTTAAGGGTGCCATGCATTGTTAGCACTGTTAGGTGTGCAGACATGATTCACAAGATAAAAAACAGATTTAAAAAAGGAATCTTAGTGATAAAAACATTCTGTCCAACTGTGGTCTTTCTTGAGTTCTATTATTTTTCTGTAGTAAAAAAAAAAACAAAAGCAAACTAAGAGCTGCGATTTTTTGATGCGTGTCTTGAGCTTATGAGGGGTGCCTTGAGCCTAAAAATGTTTAGAACCACTACAGTAAAAGGCAAAGAGTTATTTTATGTGTAAAGGACAACTAATGGCAACTGTTGATCCTCCTGGATCATGGTGTATGCACGAGGGCCACTCAGACCTTTGATGCATATATGCCTGGGCAACATTTTTTTTTGGAGGAGTGGAGGCTGCCCAGACCTGCCATCCTCCCTTTAGGCCACTGAGATAGAATCCAAAAACCAGACTGAGTCCTGATATTTGGGGCCTCCATGATTGTAGTTGCATAAATGTCTGGGAATTGAACCTAGGTCTCCTGGGTGGTAGACAAGGATTTGAACCACAGGGGACTCCAAAGGACAACTAACAATATATATTAAAAAATAAGCATTGAAAAGGGAAAATGAGGTTTTGACAGCAAGGGAGAAAAATAACACCCTAATAATAAGGTTGATTAGACAATGAAATGTTTACTGTCAGCATTTACTTAGAGACACCCCTACCTGGATTAGAAGCATTCAAAATTGGACATTTAACAGGTTTAGTGTAGAAGACAATATTGCATTAGTGCAGGGAGGTTGGTCTTGATAACTTAGGATACTTCTAATGATCTGTTATGTGGAGGACCGTAATCAGAATGTCTCTGTTTTTGTTTATAGTTGTAAAGCTCAAAGAAATTTGAACTCATTCTTTGCTGTTGTTATGGGTCTCAACACTGCATCTGTCAGCCGACTGTCTCAGACTTGGGAGGTAAGATATATCTCTGCATCCTTCAGATCTTGTCAAACCTCCATATTACACACAAAAAAAATTGGTGAGAACTTTTTAAAAAAATATTAACTTTCCATGATGAAATCAAATGGAAAGAGGAAGTCAGCATACGGGCTTTGGCATGATATGTAAAGTTCTACCACCTAAGAAGTTGAATGGATTTAAACTAAGCCTTGAAAAAAATTATAAATAAGTTTTAAAGAAGATCATAGGATTATAGGAAAGTAGGGCTAGGAGGGGACCTCTTGAGGTCATCTAGTCCAGACCCCTGCTTGAGGCACGATCATTCCTGAGACTAAACTATCCCAGCCAAGTGTTTGTCTAACCTGCTCCTGAAAACGTGCAAGAATGGAGATTCCATAATTTTTCTAGGTGGCCTATTCTAATGCTTGACCACCCTTGCAGTCAGAAAATTCCTCTTAATCTTCAACCCACATTTCCCCTAGTGAAGCTTGAGGGCATTGATCCTAGCCTGTTCCCTATGACCACAGAGAAAACTCATGTCCATCCTCTCTGTAGTCACACTTCAGGTATTTGAAGACTGTTATCAATCCTCCTCAGTCTTCTCTTCTCCATGGTAAAGAACCTTAATTCCTTTAGCCTTTTCTCATAAGTCTTACCTCCAAGGCTCCTGATCATTGTTGTTACTCTGTGCTGGACTCTTTCCAATCTGTCCATGTCCTTCTTGAAATGTGGGGCCCAACACTGGGCACAGTACTCCAGATGAGGCCTCACCTAGTGCCAAATAGAGTTAAAGAATCACTTCCTTTAATTTGCAAGTGGTACTCTTATTTATACAACCCAATATGCTTTTGGGTTTTTTTGTAACAAGAGCACATTGTTGGCTCATATTCAGCTTGTTCCACTGTATTCTCCAGATCCTTCTCTGCAGTACTGCAGCCTGGCTATTCATTCCACAGCCCTGTGTTTGTGTATGCAGTTATTCCATCCCAAGTGTATGCCTTTGCATTTGCCCTTGCTGAATCTCATCTGATTGATTAACAACTATTTATCCAATCTATCCAGGACTTTCTGGATCCTAGCCCTACCTTCCAGGGTGTCTGTAATTCCACCCAACTCGGTGTTGTCTGCAAATTTTCTACGCATGCACTCAATCCCATCATCCAAATCATTAATGCAGATGTTATGATACTGGACCCTACACAGACCCCTAAGAAACCTTACTTGATACCTCCTTCCAACTAGCCATTGATGGCTACTTATTAAGTCCAATGTTCTAACCAGTTATGTATCCACTGTATAGTACTTTCAACTAGTCTATATTTCCATAGGGAATGAGAATGTTGTAGGAGGCAGTGTCAAAGGCCTTGCTAAAGGCAAAATATATCATATCCATTGTTCTTCCCCATCCTCAGAGCATGTCACCTTATCAAAGAAGGAAATCAGGTTAGTCAGGTATTACTTCATCTTGATGAAAGAGATGAAGATAAAAGAGGTCTCCAAGATCAATGAGTCATCCTAGAATTTTAAAGGGTGTCAAAGCAGAACTGGTTAACAGGCCAGTTCTGCAATAAGGTGGAAAAGATTACTTTAAATTTAAAGAACGAATAATCTCCAAAGAAAATGTTGCGTATAAAAACATTTAAAATAAATTATAAAAAATTAAAAATGATAAAATAAAGGACATAGTTGTACATTCCACTAAATATATTCTTGTTCAGTTTTTCATTTTGAGCAAGAGGTTAGAAAAAGGGGCATGAATAACTTATTTACAGAAGAGGAGAGAGATTAACTGTTAATAGTTTCCCCAGGGAAGAGATATCAAGAGTAGGGTCTCACTGCTGTTTGTGTTTATACCTCTGCTTTTGTATCCAAATAAATTACAGGGTGGTGATACCTGCAAAATTTGCTGATGATCCTCAATTCAGGAAAGTGATAACTATTTTTTTTAATTAAAAATGTGGGGAAAACAGTAAAAAAAAAAAAAAAAACCCCACCCACACAGGTAGGCAGTATTGCAAAAAAAAAAAATTATAATAGAAACCACGTACAGTGGGTTCTAGTATAAAAGATAACCTCAAATCAAAACAGCAGAATCTGTAGGCTTCATAAACTTTTGAAAGGGGCTCAGCAATATTAAAAGCAAAATCATCTCCATGCATACAAAGTTTTACGAAAGGAAAAATTAAAAGTAAATATCAATGAGTCCAAACGCTGAACGTAACAGCCTTTAAATCAGTTGATGGACCAAAACATTTAGAGAAATTTGGAAATCTCAGGGTAATTGTAGTGAAAGTCATAGAATTATAGAAAACGGGGGTTGGAAGGGACCTCAGAAGGTCATGTAGGCTACATGTATCCACATCCTTTCTGTAGTGGGGTGCCCAATCTAGACACAGAACTCCAGATTTGGCATTACCAGTGCTGAATAATGGGGGGAGAATCACTTCCCTTGATCTGCTGGCAAAACTCCTACTAATGAAGCCCAATATACCTTTAGCCTTCTTGGTAACAAGGGCACACTGTTGGCTCATATTCAGCGTATTGTCCACTGTAACCCTCAGTTCCTTTTCTGCAGAGCTGCTGCTTAGCCAGTCAGTCCCCAGCCTGTAGTGGTGCATGGGATTGTTCCGTCCTAAGTTCAGGATGTTTCACTTCTCTTTATTGAACCGCATGAGATTACTCTTGGTCCAATCCTCAAATCTGTGAAGGTCTCACTGAATCCTAGCCCTATCCTCCAGTGTATCCACTACTTCTCCCACCTTAGTGTCATCTGCAAACTTGCTGAGGATGCATTCTATCCCATCTTCCAAGTCATTGATGAAAATATTAAACAAACCTGGCCCCAGGACTGACCCCTGGGGCACTCCACTTGATACTGGCTGCCAACTAGACATTAAGCTGTTGACTACTACCCTCTAAGCCCAATGATCCAGGCATTTTTCTATGCACCTTACAGTCCATTCATCCAACCTGTACTTCCTTAGCTTGCTTCTGAGAATGTTGGGGGAGACTGAATGTTGAGCATCCCTCAGGTTTCCTGAGGGTTGCAGGGTGGGGAGCCTGAGGCCGGGCGTTGTGCAGGGCCTGGTTTCTGCATTCAAAGCACACACACAAAATGATTTTGAAAGCAAATGTATTGCTGGACTGTATTCTGGGAAGCAGCACATTTTCCCTGGAAGATACTGGGGACAGAGGCAAGCGCTGGATTGTCATTGAAGCAGGGTCAAATGGCTGGTATAACTACAGATACCAGGCTGATGTGCGCCACAGTTACCAGATTGTGTATTGGAATGGTATTCCAGACAAACAGATTATTGTCATGATGTATGACAACATCGTAGAAAATGATGAAAATCCAACCAAAGGCATTTTGTCACCAATATGCCCAGTGGCACATATGTGTACAAGGGAGTGCTAAAGGACTACACAAAAGAGGATGTTACTCCAAAAAAATGTCTTTGCTGTTCTGAGACGTTAAAGTCAACCCTACTACATAATTTGCTATTTTACCCTTACTACTTAGAGCAGTGGTGCTCAGCCTTCCAGCCCCATGGTCTGGATGAGTGGCATGGGGCCAGTCTGTGGGCCAGATCCCATCCATGCACAGGGTCAGTCCACAGGTGCCATCTTGTACACCAGCTAGATTCTGTATATCAGCTCTGGATGCAGAATGCCCCATGCACTCATCCCACTGCACACCAGTGCAGTCTAGTGTGCCAGGCTGCGTCATCTGACCCACAGGACGAATTTGGCAGCAGGAGATCAGCAAGTTGGCAGCAGGAGATCAGCAATTTGGCAGCAAGAGATCAGCAATTAATGCTGCCACCACTTCTCCCACTAAATCTCTGGCCTCAGGGGAAACCTGTGTGTCCAGTTACAGAGCTCTGTGGGCCAGAGTTTGAGCACCACTGACTTGACATCAAGATACTTTTGCCTACCCATCTGTCTGCCTTCATCCTACTCTCTGGGGACTACTATAAGGTGTGGAGCAGGAGTAACACTGAAACAAAGGTGTACTGGCAGCCTACTTTTGAGCCCTTTCTTAAACAAATATGTGGCATTCTGCTGCTTTGGCAATGCTTTGTGCACCTCCTGCACCTATGGTGAACTTCAGCTTCTAAGAACAATATGTGAGTTACCAGAGCAAGAACAGTACTTGTACATAGATTAGAAATGGATAAGATGTTTTCATTAAAACTGCCTCTGTATCCTATAAAATGAGTATATGTACCTTCATTTTCCTTTGGAAAGTATATGTAGCCACAGCTATTTTCATAGAATCATAGAATCAATGAGTTGGAAGGGACCTAGACAGATCATTGAGTCCAACACACTGCCATGGGCAGGAATGAGCACTGGGAGTGGGAGGGGTCATAAGACCCCAGCCAGGTGCCTGTCCAGTCTTCTCCCAAAAATTTCCAGGAAAGGCGAGAGCACTACCCCGCTGGGAAGCCTATTCCAGGCTCTGGCCACCCTTACTGTGAAGTAGTTCTTCCTAATACCCAACCCAAACCTATCCTCCCTCAGCTTGTGGCCATTGTTCCTAGTGACTGCATGTAACTTTATAATTTGTAAAATTTTACTGAAGAGGAGTATTTCAAAACCTCAGAGCATATAAGCATTGATAATTTGGCTGCTAGGAAACAGCAATATTTATAAATTAATCATAATTAATTACACATGCACATTTAGAAACCTAAGTTCAAGCAACCTGTAAAAAAAATCAAGCTATGCTAAATATGTGCTTGCATTTTGAAATAGGTAGCTGTATTCCCAGTCAGCCTTTACTACTTTGGGGCCCTGTATTCAGTGAGTTACATCAGTGCCTACATTTCCATGCATTAAAACATAAAAATGAAGGAGGTTTTGTGTGTTTTAATTATACAGTGCTAGTACAATAACAAATAGTGTGTAATGCTGGAAAACTAGTAGTCTCAATTATTTTGATTCTCCTCTTTCTTACACCCGGTTAAAGGAGTAACACCACTGGAATTATTAAAATGTTCCCAGTATAAGTAAAAAGAGAAGCAGAAGCAGGGTCTTTTATTTGTATGATTGGGTTGTAAGTTCACATCTTAGGAAAAGAGTGATTATTTGAAATTATTCAAATTGCATCTGAAATCTTGACAATCTAAATTGTCAGCCTGTCGTGTTATTTTTGTGTGAACAAATGTATTGAGATAAATGGAGCAGACATGAAAGTTAGTAAAGAAAATGAAAACAGATGTTAGGAAGCAATTTTCATAAAAGAATCATGAATGAGTGGAATCTCAGAAGGCAAGACTTCTGAATCTAATGCACTGGTATCACTCTAAACTTTATTCATAATTAGGGATTTTGGTATTGAGAAAAGAATGATAAGTGACTGAAAACGTGGCCTGTTAATATTTTTTATTAGATACTTCAGATGTGATGATCTCAGGAAAAAAGATCTACATTTTTATGCATATTTCCTTTCTTTGGTCTCATTTTCTTTTCCCACGGCAGAAAATCCCTGGGAAGTTTAAGAAACTCTTCACCGAACTTGAAAGTTTGACAGTAAGTACAGTGGTAGTGCCAGAAAATATTACGTAACTAGGTATGAACCCTCTTTCTTCTTTTCTTATTACCAGCAGCCTTACCTGGGGTTCTGGGCAGCAGTGGCACTGAGCTGATTGCTCAGAACCTGGCCAGCAGCCAGAGCGTGGCTTTGGCCAGCCAGGCCCTGGTTTCTGGCAGCATATGCTGCTGCCATGTGTGCTGCACAGCTTTTTTTAGCAGAGGGGTTTTTTTGACACCACACTTGGGCATGGCCCTTGGTTGTTTACAGAAGTTGCTTTTTTCACCATTTAGAGTGTTTTATTGCTGTGACTTAACAGAAGTGCGTAGCTTTACAACACCTTAAAAATGGGTACAAACCTTTATAGTAACCTTCCTTAAATGAGATATTAAATTTGAAGGACTGTATTTTACAACACTTCAGCAACATACAGCGCTTTAAATAACTTCTGTACACTGGAGCGTGCCCAGAGCTGCTTCTCTGTGGAGCAAGCACTCCCTGCTCCCTAGCCTGGAAAGTGCAGGGAGGCTCAGAGATCACATCTTCCACCCCCTGCACCACCCAAACACTGCATTTCTGTCATGTTTAAGAATACTTTAACTTTATAATGCTATAAAAAGTGCTCTATATTACAGCGCTGTAAAATGTGCACAGAGCACTTCTATACACACCCTTATACAGTAATTACCATAAAGATTGAAATGTGCACAGAATATTTGTTTATAGCATAAATTAAAAGGAGTTTTAGAATCACTTACATTGCATGGAATGCTAAACCACCTTCTCCTATTTTGTCTTGAAATATGTAGGGTATATTGTACTGCTTGAAGGGTTGATTTTTCATCAATAGTATATTTTTAAGTGTTTTGCTAGAAATTAAGCTGAAGAGATTCTGCTTGTATTAGTGATGTGAGGAAATTACAAAGCAGTCAAAAGGTGAATTTCTCATGCAGTTGTTTCCTGTTTTGGAGCTATTTCATCTACAGGAACATAATCATTTCTGTTTCCTTCATTGTTTACATTTCTTGTTCAGTTTAGTAAGTCACCCCTTCTAGTAAAACTTTATCTATATCATTTCCCAAAGAAACCTGTTATATCTAAATCATTTTCTAATCGTAAGCCTCTAATGGATTTAGACTTACTCTTTTTATAGCCTATTGATTTTTCTTTCTATTATCAAAATGGTTTTGTAGGACCCTTCTCTGAATCACAAAGCCTACAGAGATGCATTCAAGAAAATGAAGTCTCCGAAAATTCCTTTCATGCCCTTACTCCTGAAAGGTAATGTTAAAGCTTGTCTGTCTTCCTTTGCCATGTAATTCCATCTATAAAAATACCTAATGTTAGTTCTAATAAGTGTAAGATTATTTTTCCGTATGATAAATATGCTTTAACTGCAATGACATGTTAGAGATATGGTAGCACTTTTTTCAGATAGTAAGCGGCTGCCTATTAAAACTAGGTAAAAACAACATTTTCCCCATTGCTTTCAAACTTTAGAGCCATCCCAGTCCCTTTATACATGATGCAGTGCTTGCCTTCTTCCCCACGCTGAGTTCTAAGTTGATCCCCTTTAGCCTGGAAGAGAGAATTTTTTTTATGTCTTGAATGATAGCATTTGGATGTGGTACATGCAAATAACAATTGGGTACCAAAGTGTGAGTGTATAGCCAGAGCAAAGATTATTATTGACATTGATACAATATCATTACATTGAATGTACCACAGTAGAATTTATATAAAAAAATCTATCCTTTTTGCCTACCAAAAAAATACATGGTGCTTATGAACACAGAGGACTTTCAGCTTGCTCCTCACAGGTCTGAGAAAGATAATGAACAACTGGTTCAACACAGTGAGTAAGGTGGCTAATTAAGTGGCAGGTACTTCAAGTATCCCATTATCTTGGATTCATTAATTATTAATCATCCTCACTTTGATCATGACAAATTCATTTAATATTCCTGTATTCCAGAAGCGTCCTCTTTAGTCTGTTCATTATATCCTGGTTACAGCTGAATACATTTAAAATGTTTTCAAGGGATGATTCTTTAAATAAACTGAGGATGTCTGAGAGTTTCATAGTTGGTAGGGTCAGAAGGGACCTGAGCAGGTCATCAAGGCTCCCAGTCTTCAAAGAGATTTTTGTGTATTGAGGTGAATTATAGTTGCTATGATTAAAGATCAAGACCTTACAGTGGAGTATGCCCTTGAATACTACCTGTCCCACCTGACAGAGAGGACAAACACAAACAAGCAGTCGGATTCAGTGAACTCTGTGCATGTTCTCTGCCGATCATTTCTGCACACTGATGTTGCATCAGTACATGAGTACATCCCCTGGTATATGTTCATTTAAAGGCGACATAGGATCTGATCCCTGATCCCAACAGCTGCACTTTTTCCATGCCACATGGACATGGCAGGAGGCGTGATTTGGGGATCAGTTCTCAGTGGCACCATTACAACTTGTCAGTGCAGGGGTAGGGCTGGGATTATGATCCTGGCAAAATAAAAGCCAAGTGCCCACAACCCAGTGTGATCCTGGGCTGTTCCAGGGCCAACAATCAACTGATTGAGACCCCAGGACATCAGTTTGAGACCCCAGGTTGCCTTGGGTCTAGGTCCAACAATCAGCTGATTGTCAGCTCCAGCCTTAAGACCACACTGGGACCTGACTGTAACAGGGGCTGTATCAGCTGAGTGTCGGCACTTACTTTGAGGCAGCGCCAGACATTCTACACATACAGTTTAAGGTGCTATGCAAACCAATCTTTAAAAAATTCTGCATGCTGTGTGGGACATTTATGGCTTGTTTACCATTTTATGGTACCTTAAATTAGATGCATGTGTAGCACCCTTGTCATTTATGCTGGGATTAGAATGCTAATTATGACATAAATGTAATATAGAGGCCCTAAGTTTGCATGCCAGGGCAAGATTGTATATAAGAACTAGCACACAAGTATTATGATCTTACGTCTCTCAAATATGTATGGGAAACAAGAAACTCTTTACAAAATGTTACTATAATCCCCTTTAATACAGAATGTAATTTGTCAAGGTTGATAGCCCCAAGTGAACCCATAATACCTTTTAGTCTGTTTCCTTTGACTGTCCATATAAATATGTGTGTTCAGTATTACATTACAGTATAAATAAAATGTTTGTTGATAGCTTAAAAACCATTAGCAACCCTACAATAGCAAAATCATGTATTCAAGCAAAGGAAGAACAAAAGATGATTTGGAGAGGAAACAGATTTAAGTTTGAATAGGTGGACAGGCAGTAAGGAGCTTTTTTTTCTAATTATGAAGACTACACTGATGATGTCCTTTTAAAGTTAATTGAATTTAAACACAAAGACTTGTTACTACACAGATACAGCTTTTGAAAATCAGACTGATTTTTCAAATACTTAATAAAAGTGTTTCACCCTCACAGCACAACATGGATGCAATTTTCTGCTCTGCTGCATTTATCTGGACTTTTTGGTAGCAAAGCATATTTCTGTTCCCCCCGCTCCCCCTTGAAAATAATCACTGCAGTCTTTAAAGAAAGAGCATAGAATGGAACTGTCCTGGTTTTTCTAGTTTCAGGAAGAAGCTTTTCTTCATTAGCATTGGCAAAAGTTCATCTGCGCTGCATCATTATAAAATTTTGTTGTTGTTTGTTTCCCTGAATACATATTGCCATTAAGGAGAAGTTCTGCCTGGTGCTTATATATAGGTTTATAGTGGGAGCAAGAAGAAAGGAAACAGAAGGGCACATCCTTGGGGCTTTCTTTTTTTTTGGCTGTGAGATCCAGTCATAATTGCAGTCCTTGCGCAGAGGAACTGTACCCTATGGGAGCACAGCATAAAGCAGGCAAGGAGGAGCTGTGGGCCATGCCTTGCTTACCACCTTCTGAGCTGGCCTTGGAACTGGGCCAGGGGATAAGTCTATATCTGTACAAAGATACAGAAGCAGACATGCTTGTCTTATTTGCTGAGGAATTCAGGCTGGCATACTGCTTGCCTGAAGCAGTTATATCCTACTGCTCCCCTAAGAATGGGGAAGCTCTACCCTAGCATATGGTTCTGCCTAATGAATTCTAGTTGAGGGTTTCCACCAGCATATTAAGCTATTAGCATTTCCGTCATAAGTAACTGTAAAATCCCCTCCAGGCACACAATGAATCTGTAATACAAAAGAAGGTGAATAAGTTCTGATGTTATGGTACCGGATGAGAGAAAACAAAAGAAGTTCATTATTTCAGCTTGAAATCTTTTTCAGTCCTGAACTCTGATTGCATTGAGACTGATGCTGTCCTGTACCTATGCTGGCAGAGGGGACCAAACAGTTAGAACATGGGTTGCTTGGATACCACAGTGATGAGCAAGGCACAAGTGCTTAGATGGGCAGGCAGAGTGGTATGTTGTCATTGTAAATGTGATTTCATAGCAAACCACTGAGCAATAGATATTTCCCAATGACTTGGTGTCATTTGTCAGTTGGAAAACATGGCTTATAGTCTCCTGATTCCATTCGTGGCAACACATCATTTTACCATAGTTGTGTCACAAAAGCATCTTGCTATTGCAAGCACCAATATATATGTTTCTTAGGTACCTTTCTATGATCCAAGTAGTAGTTCTATTATATAAGCTTGCAAAGGTTAGAGTCTGCACATGTACTTCAGCAAAGGGGAGTAAATAGCTTTAAATCAAGGTTTCATTGTAAATGCCACTTAGAAACAGTTTTGCCTCTTTTCTTCCTTGATACACTGCTTTCAGTTTGCGTACTAGTGCCAAATATCGCCCTTTTGTCCATTCCTCATATTATCATTATCCTCACATTGTGCCCTAGAAATAGACGGGGAAAAAACTTGGTGCCAAGAATCTGCAGAGATAAATCTTGGTGCCTCTGCCAAGGTGAGGTTTTGAACTCAGCAGATTTTTTTTTGTCTCTTCTCCCTCTGGACCTAGAGTCCAGCCAACAGAGCTCTATACTCATGGATCTCAAGCCACAGCCCTGGTTCCTACCACTGACTCCACTAGCAGCAGTAAATCCATAATGTTCACAGTGCATGAAACTTGCACATACACAACTACTATGCTCCCCTCCCTAGCAAACTGTACATTTGAATGTACAGTCCTCTGGTATGTTTGATAGAAAGAAAGTCATATGGAAATCACAGAAATTAGGTTTAGTGAGAAACAAATTTACATTCCATACTTGAAATTCCTCTTGATCAAATGTATCAACAATGTTGTTATATAGAATAAATGTTCTGTTTCTCATGAAAACAGCTGGTGCTAGTGTTCTGTTTCCTTTCAGTAAAACAAAAAAAATAATGATAGTTTCACATGCTTACAGGACAGTTTTGTTCCATTTTTATTTTATTATTGTTTTGTCAACACTTTATTTTTTATATCTAAAAAACTGAACAAGTCCACAAAAATAGCAAATAACTATATATTTTTTCATTTTTAGATGTAACATTCATCCATGAAGGAAATAAAACTTTTCTGGATAACCTTGTTAATTTTGAAAAGCTGGTAAGTAAATTTGCCTTTCCTATTTTATGAGGAAATCCGTGCTTCCTTGTCTCCTGTGAAGCATGAAGCTGTGGTAACCAAGAACAGACCCCCCTCACCCTCCCACCCCATTCAGCATTTTACAAGAGCTCAATTAGAGAGAGAGGGATTACAAACTATGTTTGTCCTCAGCTAAATTCTCACATTGTTATTGCCTCCTGTCTCAACTCAGTCTTCTCTTCTTTTCTTGAAGCAGCCAAGAGCAGGTAAATCCAGTTTAATGGTCACCACTACTATGCTAATTCCAGATATTTCAAATTAAAATAGAGTTTAGAATGTATGATCTAGGCTAAAAGATAAGAGTTTCTAGGTAGACCTGACATTAGCTAATTCTGTTAAAGGAATTAGCTTAAGCTGGCTTTGCTGGTATAAGCTATATCTATTCTAGGAGGGTTGGCCAGCAGAGCTATACCAGCAAACCTGTAGTAGTATAGGCTTAGTCTACATAATAGCCCTGCTGTTTCACTATTGGTGTGGACACAGCAGAAGGAACCTTTTCTACCACCAGAGTCACACTTGTGCCCTGAAGGGCAGATGCCCTTCCAGCAAAAAATAGCCTTTTGTCAGCATAACTGTGTCCCCAACAGGCATCTTTCTGGAAGATCTGCACAGATGTGATGTTTTGATTGTTTTCACACCTTTAGCCAACATGGCTCTGCCAGCAGGGCTTTGTTATGTAGATAAGGCTATTATGTGATTAAGCATGATAAAAAAAAAAAAAAACCCTTACATATTGGAAAGTCATCTCTATTAGTAAGACATCAGACTTTTTCTTATTTCCAGTGTGCATGATGTTTGTTGAAAAGTGATAAAAGATCTTGCTACCTGATTTAGTCTTTTCCTTGATGTGGTAATGACTGTTTAACCTGTTCACTACATATTTTTGTATAAAGCAGTAGAACAATTCATTTTTCTCCTTTTGAATCCAAAGTTAGAGCTTGTAAACAGATACAGGTGTAATTCTTTCTTCCTGATTACTGCCTTATAGAGACACTCCTGTTCCAAAATAATAGTATCCACATATGGCATTTTCCAAGAACCACCTATTACACTTTAAATTCATATCCTATCTTAATTCACATTAACTTTCAAGTGTAGACAAGCCCTAACTTTGACTTTATAACCTCCATGATCGCCTTTTAAAGTTCTCTATTAGATTCTTCTACTTGTTCTTGTTGCTGCTTTTATGCCGATTTGCATTTAATAAAGGGTTTTCTTATCCCAAGTCCATTAACAGTTTGACCTTTACACGTTTGCGTAAAACTCATTAGCATGTTCTTCTTTATTGCCTCTTGGAAGTATTTCTCATTAACATGTAAATTGAACTAGCCTTGGATGTACTTTTAATTGTTATTAAAGATCGTTCCAAGTCTGTATATTAATTTTACTGAATACTGACCAGTCTTAACTAGGCCTTTCAGTTTTTGTAATTGGAGGAAGGCCTTGTCTATACTGGGCATGTTTTATAAAAGCTCCTAGTGCTGCTTCACCAATAAAGTTTCACCAGTGGGGTCTCTACCACCAGTGGAGATGTGCTACTATTTGTAGCTGACAGGGAGAAACTAGTATTTGCAGTATTTTATCCAGTATTTCATCCAGACCTGCTTTGAGAAAAATGAAACGGTGTCATTGAAACTTTAGTGGTTGCCCAGAGTCCTGTACACTTGACTAGTCCCACCTAAAGTACAGAGTAGGAAATTGTTGTAAAAGTGCAGTGCAGACCTAGCCAATGTAAGGGGAGTATGGTGTATATGGATGTGGAAGCATTTGATCTGTGGACGTGTCATGGAGTGGGGCCTAGAAGCAGCCGTGATCTCTCTAGCGCCCCCTACCATGCCAAGTAGACAATCCAGCACCCTCTTTCTCGCCCGCCACGTCTTGTTGTCATGTAATTTTATAAGGGAGGCTGCCTCTTGTCCCCTTGGCCACGGTACTATGTTTGTCCTGGCCTCTGCTCTGTAGGGAGTGACCTGGTGCACCTCCCCCCCGCCCAGCCTTAAGGGCTACATGTGCCTCCAACCTCCCCTTTAGCACACCCCAAGCCTCGCAGATCTTCCGGACGTTATCCCGCCAATCTACTTTCCCTAAAGGCCTTCTCAAAAGGCCTCTGCCTGAATGCGCCCTCTCCTGGGGCTTCCCTCTTACAGACAGTGCCCTACCAGGGCATGCCTCCCGTATGCCTTGCGCTTCCCGCGGCCACTCGCGCACTTGGGCCGGTGCCTAGCGCTTCCCGTGGTTGGGGCTCAGGTGGCTGTAGCCGTGCCTGGCCCCCTGACCCACCGTCTGGGTCTTACACCCTGCTCGGTCTTCTCCTGCTATCACTCCCACAGGGCTGAGGTCAACACACCCCTAATGCAGCACCGCCCTGGCGCCAAACAGCTGCGCCCTCCCTGGCAATGCTCACTGTGCCCTCACAGGGCACCAGGAACCCCCACGCTACTGGGGAGCTCCCCTGAGGCCTCCTCCAACCCCTACAGCCTCACCCGGTCCTCCGGTCTAACAATAACAAATCAGGGAACATAAAGCCATGAGCCAACTGGCTATAACTCAGAATAAACCCCCTAGCTAGAACATAAATGCTGTGCTACCATGGCTCACCTTCCAAACCTCCCTGTCAGGGTTCTCTCTCCCCATACCTTGCTGCAGGCAGTCAGGCAGCTCTACTCTACAGCAGAGCTGCTGCTCCTTAGGCTGCCAGAGGGGGACTGACCCCCTAGGCTTCAGCCTGGGCTGTTTATAAAGGCCCGGACCTGCCCCCTTCTGGTCACCTGACCAGTGCGGTTGCCCCAGCAACCGGCACCTGAGCTGCCCTGAAGATTGGCAGCTACCCTTATTCCTTCACAGACACAGGGCACCTGAGTGCCCCTGTGACAACATGAAACCAGAAAAAAATCTGGCGAACATCTCACTGACCACTTCTGTTATGTTCCTCTTTATTCTGTAAACTTACTTCACTCTTGCAGAATAAATAAGATGCTCATTGACTTTAATTGTTGCAGAATTAGGCTACTAATCCTCATCTTTAAATAGTTTGTGCAAACTAGAGTGAAACTGCTGTTGCAAAAAGCATGAGTCCCAAATGCTTAATTTGCAGAAATTTATGCTGTATGAAACATCTTTGCTATGGAATTCAGATGTTCATTAGGTCCAGTTTTAAATAAGTTTTGGAGGTTTTTGTTATGAAAAAAAATCACTAAGAGAAGAAAAGCTTTGTGCTGTTATGTCAGGTGCGAGTTTAATGGCATCACAGACCAGATGTATGAAAAGCTAGGTGGATTGCTCTTTATATTTAATGTTATATCTTTTAGGATCTAGATGACAGCTTTACAGATTAATCTATGTCCATCATTATTGCCTTAATGTGAGAATGGTAAAATGGGAATAAATGGATGAAAATCTTACATAAATTTTACTGTTGTATCTTAAATTAACTTCACGTTATTTTTATTGAAGTAATTGGTAAAAAGATAGGTTCTTACAGTATTTCGCTTCAGCAACCATGACCTATATTTGTATGTCTCCTTTAGCAGTGGTAGCTGACACATGTCTACTGCTACTTTAAGGTCCCATTCTTTCCCATTGGGTCCTAATAGTAAGAATTACACATGTAAGGAAGGCCTTTCTGGACTGTGCCCCCAAATTTGCTCCTGAGTATACTCATGAATTGGATTGGGAAAAACTACAGAACTAGTACTAATAATCATCTGTTAAGAATGTTTGCCACTTCTAAGAACTAGTTGAGTGTGAATCATTTATGTCCTCCATATCCATCACAATAATGTTATGCAAACACCTGTTAAATGGTTAGCAAATAGCAGTTTTTGTAGAGCAATTAACAGGTGTTCAGTATTATAGTTGAGTCAGGCAGAGCCAGAGAAGAACAATGTGAAAGCCACAAAAGAGAGGAGAATTGTGATTATGTTCTACTTCATCAAAATGGAACATAAAGTGGAACAAAGAAATCAAGCGAGCTTCCTGTTGGTAACAGGAAGAGTGATATTATATCACTGATCTGTTAAAAGAACACATAAGCATATGCCATTCTCATGAAAATATATTTTCTGAAGGAACATTTTAATCACTCTTAATGTGGTTTTGAAAAGATGAATATGCTACATTATTCTAGTCTTAAACTTACCCTTCTCTAAGCAACTAATCTTTTCCTTTTGGTTTTTGAGGGAGGTGAGAGAACAGAATGTACTGTTTCCATAAGCTGCATATTACTGTTAATTGCAGGCTGGTTATTTAAATTATGCATATTCAGAGAAGAGCTGCTGGCCCAATTCAGTATGTTCTTCCTTTGGGTTCTAAGTGCGATCAAATACAAGAAAAAACTGCATTAAAAGCTCTCTGGGACAGATTCACCACTGGTGAAAATAAGCATAGGTTCATTGACTCACATGGAACTATCTCAATTCAATATACTATGTGTGAATCTTCTGCTGAATGTGAAGCCAACTTTAAAAGGTTTTTTGTGGCTTTAATTTGAGCTCTGTAGCCTACATAAACCTCAGAAAATTAGCACCCATTCAAATTAAAACTTTATAGTGTCATCAACAACCTGGAAGATGGGATGAAATGCACCCTCCGCAAGTTTGCAGATGACACCAAGCTGGGCAGAGTAGTAGATACACTGGAGAGTAGGACTAGAATTCAGAGACACCTCAGCAAATTGGAGGATTGGATTAAAAGAAATCGCATGAGGCTGAATAAGGAGAAGTGCAAAGTCCTGCACTTAAAACAGAATAATCTCATGCACCGGTACAGGTTGGGGACCGACTGGCTAAGCAGCAGGTCTGCAGAAAAATGACCTGGGGATTGCAGTAGACAATAAGCTGAATATGAGCTAACAGGGTGCCCTTGTGAAGAAAGCAAACATCATACTGGGCTGCATTAATAGGAGAACTGCCAGCAGATCAAGGAAAGTAATTATTCCCTTCTGCTTGGCAACATCTGGAATCTGTGTCTAGTTTTGGGGCCCAACTCTATAGAAAGGATGTAGACAAATTGGAGAGAGTCTAGCAGTGGGCAACAAAAATGGTTAGCGGCTGGGACACATGACATATGAGGAGAGGCTGGGGGAACTGGGCTTATTTAGTCTGGAGAAGAGAAGACTGAGGGGATTTAACAACAGCCTTCAACTACCTGAAGGGGCTTCCAGAGACGATGGAGCTAGACTTCTCAGTGGTGGCAGATGGCAGAACGAGGAGCAGTGGTCTCAAGTTGCAGCAAGGGAAGTTTAGGTTAGATATTAGGAAAAACTTTCTCACTAGGAGGGTAGTAAGGCACTGGAACAGGTTACCCAGGGTGATTGTAGAATCTCTGTCCTTGGAGGTTTTGAAGACCTTGGCTGGGATGACATAGTTGGAGAGGGTCCTGCTTTGAGGAGGCGGATAGGCCTAGATGAACTCCTGCAGTCCCTTCCAACTCTCATTTTCTATGATTCGATGATAGACTCAGTTTGTGAAATGCTTTTAAAGCATTACATTATATTTAAGGTTGTAAGGCAAATTAATGCTACATATACACTCAGGGGAAGATTCTCAGCTGGTATGACCTGGCAAAGCTACATTGACTTCTATGGAGCTATGTCAGTTTACGTGTGATGAGCATTTAACTCAGACTTTCTTAGAATTTTTTAGGACAACACCACAAGACAGATGCAGTTTGTTTTTATTTTTTAATTAAATCTTAACTGTATCTCTTATTAAAACCCACAAAACTTCATTTGCTATTGATAATGTATTTTAAGCCCCCACCTTGCTGTACCAGTTTGAATATAAACACCTGCTGGGAGGCACATAAACCTGCATAATACTGATTTGGCTTGGTAGAACTCATAACCTTGAATGCAGCCATCTACATTTTATTCATCTATGAAATATCTAGAGAATGAGTCCAAGTTAAGAGATATTTCTAGCTTTAGCATCAAATTGAAATGAAGTCTGAAGGCAAATACCTTGCAAGTCTTAAGGAACTACAGTAAGCATTTATTAATACCTTTGCTAGGATCAAGAGTCAAGTTTTCAGTGGCCTCCTGAACATATACTTCATTTTTTTTCACCGATTCTTTATTTTTTTAAGTTTCAATTCTTTTTCTCCCTAGTAGGGAATGGCAGTAGGATGAAAAAATAAATTAAAATCTAAACCACATGAGACACATAATCAACTGTAATGTGGGGCCCTTGCAGGACGCGTTGGGAAATTTGGTCATCACACCAGATGACAAAGCTAACATGTTTAATGATTTCTTTGCCTCCATCTTCCTAAGTAGGGACCTGAATAGCCACCTCCCTGCTGGGCCCCCCTTGGGCCCTGGGGGAGTCACACCTGGGCCAAGGGTTAGCGAGGAACTAGTTAG